ATATATATATATATATATATATACGTATATATATATATATATTATGCATGTGCGTATGCGTGTCGTGCATGTAGGCGTGGGCGTGTGCGAATACGAGTAATAAGTATATAGCCTTCTCATGTCGAAGCAGGTGTCATGTCACTCGTGGAAATAAATGAATGTAATATTTGCCGAGGTATAAGTAATTACATTACATCGATTCTGTGTAATGAGAGTGCATGAGAAATTACGATAACCCAACTGGGTGTCAGCTGCCCGTGGTTTCAACTCGGATTACTGCTTGCATACGAATTGCATGCGAAAGCCGTAAGCTTCAGATTTTCTCATTATACATCGCACACATCGCATCTGTATCATGGAACTCTGCTTCTACGTGCAGCGCACCATATGCGCAGGGATGGGTGTGTGAGGGCAAATGTCAAAACCCACGCGTGCATAACATACGCGACTCATTCCCCGAGTTATAAAGAAGAATGAAACACGAGAGAATGCCATCAATAATAATGGTCTTTCAATGTGCTTTGTATATGACTTAGTGGTTAACAGTAGTTTGTGTGCTTTTGAGATTTTATATTGCGTCAGACGCTCGCACGCACGCCCACGCACGCCCACGCGCACCCACGCGCATCCACGCACGCCCACGCACGCCCACGCGCACCCACGCGCATCCACGCACACCCACGCACACGCACGCGCTCGCACACATCTATCAACCAAATGGAGGCGACAACAGCGGCTTCATAACGGCAGCCGAAATACGTTGGAAATGAAATGTGTTAGAGCGTGTACCGCGGGCAGGTGATCAGGCGATGCAAACTAATGTGATTGCTAGTAGCGCACAGCTGGTCGCACGTATACGTGTAATGTAAGACGTATCCGCCACTGCCTACATTTACGTTTGTTCATTCGTCAGTTTATATAGTTTATTAGTCGAGTATAGGAATAATGTCGCGTACGGAGAGATATCGCTTCCGCGATGTTCGTCTTGCGTTGCATTACGGTTTCGTCAAGAAATTGGAACTCTCTGACTAGAAATCACATATCGACTCAAGTTGCAAATTTCTATCGCTCTTTTAGTATCGCTTTGCTCTCGAAAACAATTTATTCAATGCGGTTAAAATTATAAAGCACGTTATACATTAATAACACGCTATAATGTTCGTAGCCTGAACTTACATTCTCCCGGTAGATTTGTACTCGATTCTAACCATTTTCTCGCCATGCTCGCAGCTTCTATTTGCAGAAAGTAATCTCCAAGGGCGCGGCATATCATTCGTGACAAAATAATGGTCTGCAGTTTATTCTGCACGCTGAGAGTATTGTGGCCGGCTTCTCGAAAAAATTTACATACGAAGACTTTACGGAAGACTAGCAGTGTTCTAAGAAGCACAGGTAAACGTAATATCATGTAGGAACATTGTTGGCAATGTAGTAATGTAGTTGTCAATAATAGTCGCTGCGAAAGTAGAAAGAACATCAGCTTGTTTGAAAGCACTCGTCATTAATCTTTTATCGTTGGAGTAATCATTCTGACTTTATCAGTAAGCTTTATCAATAAGTGTAATTACGATATCACTGTGGTTTCACTAGGATCGTGTAAATCAATACAAATCACGATGATCGTCCATTTTCCTATAGTTATCAAGCTATCTATTACTATATATATTATATTATATA